TATAATATCATATTTATCAAATCATAAGTTAAAGTTATTTCTTTGCTATATAGTATTAATTTATTTCTTTATTAGTTTTTATATTATTAAACTTTGGTATATAATATTATTATCAGTACATAGTGTAATGTAGTTAGTAGACTGGAACGGGGCGTTCCCAGATTGGAACGGGCCGTTCTAAACTACTAAAACAAGAGTGATTTAGTAGTCTAGAACGACCCGTTCCTAAACTGTAATGAGTCGTTCCAAACTAATAAATAGGCCTGTGAATCTTGGACTGGAACGGGCCGTTCCAAAGTGGTCATTGTGAGTTAAATTCAACTCCAGAACGGGCCGTTCCGATTTCAGAATGGGCCTGCATGTGAATTTTACACATGATGAAGGAGCCTAGAACGGGCCGTTCCGATTTTGAAACAGGCTGTTCTGGCCACTTCAGATTTCTATAAATAGAGGTTGTGCAGTTGAGGAGAAGAATAAGTTTTTAGAGAGAAGTTTTAGAGAGAAGGACTCTGGACTAGGAAGCTTGCTTTGGGTGGATTGAAGTCCCGGGTTGAGCTTTAGAAAATAAATTCCACTTCTTCTCAGTTCTTGGTATTCTGAGTCAATCTTCAGGTAAGAGAAGCTAGATTGTATGTTGTTTGGTTGTATGTGAGTTTAGGAACTCATATGGAGTTATATAATTGCATTGAGATGTATGATGAGTAGAAAGTGAAATGAAGAGATGTATGTTGCTATAAAGTTGTATGCTGTGCCATGTGTTGAAAAGATATTATTTTATGATGATTGAGTTGTAAATTATGAGTTGAGCTATTAAGCTGTTGAGTTGATTGTGTTGTTTAAAGTTGAAATGAGATGTTGTGTTGTTAAAATGTGTTGTTAAACAATGTTGATGAGTTGTTGTGCTAATAAACTATGTTGTTCAAGTTGAATGTTGATTGAGATGATGAGTTGAAAAGTTGTATATTGTTTAAGTTGTTAAGCTGATTAAGCTGTGATGATGAGTTGTTGATCACTAGGACTAGGGGAGATGTTTTCGAAGTTGCTTATCCCATTGTGTGAATTGAGATAGTTGTGGTGCTCTAAGAGCTCAATTTGTTAAAAAACCCTCCTTGGGAAGTTTTTCCTTGGAGTGGATGTTGTGTTGTTCTCCTCTAGGACTTAGTTGATCCCGTGTGTGGGCAAGGTCGAGGCACACGTGTACAAAATGATCACGGTATAGGGGTCAGGTCGAGCTATACCGATTACAAGCGACCAAATGTTTATTGTTGTAAAGTTGTTATGGTGTCTATTGTTGTAAAGTTGAAAAGTTGGGGATATATGGTGAAAATATATGTCCTATGTTGAGATACATAATATTAAGGAGATAAGTTGAAAGTTGTTTTAAAGTTGAATCTCTTAGTACTGTGTGGGCGACATGGAAGTAGCTGATCCATGTCATGGTTGAATGACCAATTTGAGTAAGGTATCTAGTTAGAAATGCAGTCTTTGACTAGGTACTGGAGGGTGCGTGGTACTTGGAGGATAGTGGGTGGGCTAACTCCATATGTGGATTGGTGATGCTAGCCAAGGCCGTGGTAGGCTCATACCCAAACCCTTCTGTCCTGACAGTAGTATTGGACCTCCGAGTCTGGCACACCTTAGCAATCGCCTATTGTTGTCTATACCTAGTTCTCTTCAGAGTTCCTAACAATGTTCTATACATGACCTGGTTGAGATAGGTCAATCTCTGGATTCAGTAGGGTTTATGCCACCTAGACTGCTCAACCTCAGTTGTTGGAGATCTCCGAGTTGAAATACGCGATGATGCATAAGTTGTTGATGAGTTGATTTGTTGTTGATAAGAGTTGTATCTATGTTGTTATGTTGTTAAGCTGTGATTGTGTTGTATGTTGATCTTGTTGAGGATGATGATAGTACTGTTATGTTGTAAGTTCCTTAATTGTATACAAGTTGATGATGATGTTAGTGTCGCTAGATTACCTGTGTTGTAATTTGTTTTAAACATGTGTTGTTGAGAGGTGTGTAACACATGTTGGTTGTTGTTATGATGAATATGATAATTATTCCAATGGTTGTACAGTAGTTGATATGTGTAATCAAGTTGAAATGATGTTAAGATGTATAATATATGTGTTGTTTATCTTTTGTGTCAGATGTGAAGATGATTATATAGTTGTGTTTCACATTTGATATTTATGAGTTTTTTATTCACTAGTGGAAAAAGGAGCTACTACGTCTCTTCATTTCCGTCGAAAACTAGCCCACCCGACGTTGTAAAAACGTGGTGGCAGTTCCGTAAATAAGAGGAGGAAATTTATGTCGGACATCGATGGGTCCAACGTAAATGAGATAATTTACGCCGGACAGCTAAAGCAGCCGACGTAAATTATCTCATTTACGTCGGACCCATCTTTGTCCGACGTAAATAACTCCTTAAATGAAGGGCGCACACTATAGATTTCAAATCGTGGCATTCTTCCTCACCTTCACGTTCTCCCGCGCGTTGTGGATTTTTCTTCCTCATCCCTCCGCCTCCTCCTCAAATCGTGGTTGTCTTCCTCATCTGCACGTTCTTCTATTTTTCTTCTTCGGAATTGCGTTGGTTTCTTCTTCGCGTGTTGATGGAAATGGCTTAACCATACATCCATCTGTTTTTCTATGAGGTAGCATCTTCTATCAAGTTTGTGTTTTCTGGGATGTTTTTCTATGAGGTAGCACCTGTTTGTGTTAATGTTTGTGTTGCATTTCGTGTTTGTGAAGCTGTAGAAGGAAGTGACCACTGCCTAGGTCTATCAAGCAGAACGGCCCGTTCTGCTTGCACTCGTTTTTCTTTTTATTATAAATTTTTATGACTTTTTTACGTTGGACCTTGGCATGTCTGACATAAATTTATGTCGGTTTTTGACCCCCGACGTAAATTTTACGTCTCCCGTATTAACGTCTGATGCTTTTCCGACGTAAAAGACTTCAAATACCCGACGTAAAAGGGGTCTTTTGTACTAGTGATTGTCTCTAGCTTACCCTTACGTGTTTCCATGTGGTTTGGACTGCGATGATCATACGTTGGTATAGGAGCAGGGCAGGGATAGGCTGGGAGATAGCTACTAGAGGCTACAGGAGGTGCCTAGAGATGGATATTTTTTTTTGTAGACTACCTTATAGTAACATATTTTGTTGTATTATAACTGGTTGCTGTTGGTTGCTTGATTAACAACTTGTGTTGTAAATATTTTATTATACGATTCTAGTATATATTTTTCAGTAGTGTGTTGTGTTGTTTCGTAGTGTGACGGTCACAGCGGGTCGTTACACATAACAGTGAAGAAATTCAACATTTTTAGGATTCATGAAGAAAGACACAACATTTGAAATAAAAAATAAAAGTAAAAAAGCAAAAGAACACTATAACGTTTTTAGCAATAGTAGAAAAATATTGTTAAATTATGATTAAATATTACTAATATAATTTTACAAACATTTTATCAAACGTAAGATAAAATTTATATTATTAAATTTTTTTAATAACATTTTATATATTAATGACAATATTTCTAAAAGTATTACAAAAGTGATATTTTACAACATTTTAATTCCTAAAATTATTATCGTTTATATTTTTTGATTCTTGTCTACAATTCCTTTACGGTTAAAAATGTCTTAAGCTTTTTTATTTTTATTTTTTTACAAGAGAAGATATCCTAAAGTTAGTCATCACTAAATTTAGATTACACGTCAAAATTCATTTATTAATTTTTACTCTATAATTATATAAATTTTTTATGTGTCATTATTATATTTAATATGAGTCTTCATTTTAGAAAATAATTAATTAGATATTAAAGAGACATATTCTTTATCTATTATTTTTTTTATTTTATGTGCGACTTAATTTTGAAAAATAATTAAAAAAATAATGCTGAAATTAAAAATATCAGTCTATTTATAGGAACATTTTTTGAAAAAAAAAAATTACAATAACTTATTATATCTTAATTTATAGTAATATTTTAATAAATATAATTAAAAAATGTTATTATATGTTAAATGTACGTAGTAGTGGAAAATTACTAATTGGTAATTAAAACTCGCATGAAATATTAACATATTGATATTATTCGATAATTTACAAATCGGTCATAAGTCCAAATGTTATTGGATAATTATTGAAAAAACATTAAAAGATAATAACAACAGTATGTAACGACATCTTAGGTAGGGGTGGACAAAACGAACTGAACTGAACTGAACTTATAAAAACTATACTGAACTTAAAAGTAGTTCATATGAACTGAACTAAACTAAATATAAGTTCAGACGAACTGAACTGAACTATTCTTTTGTGTCATTGAACTGAACTGAACTATACTATAAAAACTTGAACTGAACTGCAATTTAAACTGCACTAAACTGTTATGATATTTTGAATTGAACAATTTTGACTCATTGATCTATCAAAATAGGACACATTTGTCAACTTTACTTTATTTTCCATTTTATTTAAATTTTTCAAAGGAAAAAAATATAAAATTAAGTCAAACAAACTCAGTGAATTTTAAGCCTAAAAATAAGTAGTTCAACATAGCTCAATTGATCCGTTAAGTTCAACAAAATTGATATAATTTTTTTTCAAATCACTTTTTTTCTAAAATTTTGGTTATTAGACTATCGAGCTAATCTATTAAGACATAACATGTTAAACACATTTAATTTTTATTCTTTTATAAAAATAGTTCAATTTTTATAATTCAATTCAGTTTATATAGTTCAGTACAGTTCAACTTTACAACAGTTCAGTTCAGTTCAGTTTTTTTTAAACAGTTCAGTTCAGTTTTTTTTACAAACAGTTCAGTTTTTTATAGTACAGTTCACCACCAGTTCAGCTCAGTTTAGTTTTTTTTGCCCACCCCTAATCTTAGGTAGTGTCTGCCTTCACTAAAACATGAGATTGAAAGTGACACAAGAGAGGAAAGGCAAAGACACTGCATTTGTCCATTGTGGAATCAATGACTTTGTGTGACATCCTCAGATTTTCCAACATTGTTTATATTCGAGGTCTCCCCACTATACTTTTTTGCAATCTTTTGTGTTTTTGCCCCCTTGCTGAATATGCGATACACAGCCCAATCTGTCATCTACATTAGCATTCAAATAGGAGTGATCAGATACTAGTAAACAAGAAAGAAAAGAATATATATATATATATATATAATATAGGGGGTTATAATA